TGAACCTGAGGCTTCAAACATGAACCAGACATTGCCCTTGTCTCAAGGAGTCCCCAGTAGGAGGCAGAGCCCAACAATGATGATCTTGTAAGCTCAGGGCAGTGATGGAGGCAGCCCAGGAAGCACGTGGAAACTGGTGCAGAGGAGGGCATTTGCCTGAGTTAGAGATGCAGGGAGAGGGGCTTCCTGGAGGAGGGGATGCCCAGCTGAAATCTGCAGAGTTGAGAGGTCAGCTAAGCGAAGGTGGAGGTGGAATGGAAGGAGAGTCAAGAGAAGAGTCAGACAGAAGGAACAATCTGGGCAAAGACCGAGAGGACAGAGAAAACTGTGAACTGTGGGAGTTGTGTTTGGGAATCCACTTGGGTTGCACGCTGTGATCCAGGGGTTTGGGAGTGGAGGGACAAAGATCCAGGCCAGAGACTGAGCCAGGACTGAGGTCATGGGAAGGGTGAAGAGAACACTTTAATTCACGGAGCCTCCAATGATGATGATGATGATACTACATTTATTGGGCATATGCTGTACCAGCCTTGGCGCCTACATTATCTCATTGTCTTTGCGACATTCCTATGAGATGGGTACCAGTGCTATTGTCCCACGCTATAGATGATGAAGAAACTGAAGCCCAGATGACTGGGCCCACATTTGAATTTATGGCTTAGAAGTGGGGTGGGAGACACACGCAAGAGGGCCTGCAGGCCCCTCCTGGTCTGGGACGTCCCAGGCACTGAGAGGCTGGCACTGGGGGCCCTCCCCCCGACTTCCATCCCAGGCTGAAGGTCGAGGAGCTCACACTGCCACAGGTGTCGCTGAAGCTGCTGCCGGGGTTTGGGGTGCAGCTGAGCCTGCACACCAAGGTGGGCCTGGAAGGCTCCGGGTGAGTGTGCCCCTGGGAACCTCTACCCTATCGCTCCCCACCCCGTGCCACTGCCCACTGGGGATCCCTATCTTACTGCCCCCCACACCCACTCCAGTGGCCCCTATTTTCCCCACTCTAGCTCCTCTCCATGAGACTCCTACACTACTGTTCCCTTCTTGGATCCCACCCATAACCCCTCCCCATGGACCGCCATCCCACTGACCCCCAGGGCTGCCACTTCATGCTCCCTGGAGACCCTACCCCACTGTTCGGAGCTCACTGAAGAGATGGGGGATGTGCAAGATGGGGGACCTACAGGAAGGCGGGGGTGAGAGGAGGACAAGGGGACTAGATCACTTGCAAGGCCACCCACTTCGCTCATCAGGGTCGAGCCGGGGTGGGCGTGGTTAAGGAGGGCCCTGGTGGGTGGGGTCTAGAGGCCTAGCCACACCCCCAGCATCCCGTCTCGCAGGACCCTGGGGGGCCTCCTGCAGCTGGCCGCCGAGGTGAACGTGTCGTCGCGTGTGGCAGTGGGCATAAGCTCGCGGGGCACGCCCATCCTCATCCTCAAGCGCTGCAGCACGCTCCTGGGCCACATCACCCTGCTCTCAGGGTGAGTCCGCGGCTGAGCCCATGCGCATTGGCATCTCTGGATCTCTCCGGAGCCTGAGCTCACCCTGCCGCCAGCCTCCCTGCCCCCACCCTTCCCCCGCACCATGAGTCCCTCCACGGACAGCCACCCCTGGGTGTCCCCCTTCTCTGGCCCTGAGATCCTGCTGTCCCCTCTCCCACATAGAGCAGGGCCTTCTGCGGTCCCCTCCATCCGATCTGCCAGCGTCTCAGTCCCTGCTGTCCTCACCCCAGAGATCCAGCTCTATCCCTGACCTGCTGTGTGACCCTCAGGGGAACCCCCTCCCCAGCCTGGGCCTCAGCGTCCCCATCTGTATAACGAGGACCTGTGTTTGCTGATCTGGAAGGCTCTGGCACTTCATATTTGTCTCTTCCTACAGCTGTTCAGGCACAGTGGCCCTCCCAACACTGTGTTGAATAATCACTCCCAGGAGACAGCTAAGGCCCAGAGAGGGCAAGGGGCGTGCCCAAGCTCATACACCAGATTGAGGCAGGGATGGAGGTGGGCTGGTCTCTGGAATTAGGTCCCAGGCTTTCCCAGGGCTCTGCACCCACCCTCGGGGGCACCTGCCTCCTCCCTGGCCTCACGCTTTGTGTCTCCCCATTAGTGTCTACATTCCAGGCCTAATCGCACACCCTACCCCATCTTTGTTGGGTGGCCCTGAGCAGTGATGGGTAATCAGACAGCTCTGTCTTAGCTCCCAGGAGTCGGTGGGCCAGGGTTGCTCCTGTCTCCAGAAGGGCCCTAATAAGGGGATTCCAGAGAGGGTCTTTGGGGTCCTAAAATCCCATTGGCTTCCTGCTGCTCCAGTGGGCTATGGGGGCCTTGGAGGGAATGGAGCCCAGGGTGGTGCTGGTGTCCTGCGGTTGTGGTTCTGTGGTTGTCACCCCTCCCTCTGTGCCCCTATAATCTTTAAACAGACCTTCTCATCCACAGACCACCCTCTCCTGCCTTCCTTCCTTCCTTCCTCAAACACTCATTCATTTAACAAATATTTATTGAACCCGCACTCGAAGCCGGGTGCTGCTCTAGGTTCAAATGTCACCGTATGTACAAATGCTGGAGGAGACAAAAGGAACCGATGTTTATTGAGCAAACTGTGTACCTGATGCGTAGACACTCATATTTAATCTTGGCAGCAACAGCTCTGCGAGGCAGGCACTGTGCAAACGGGGAAACGGAAATCCTCCCCTGGGCCTCATGGTGAGGCAGAGCCAAGATTTAAACCCCGTCTCCAAAGTCCCAGCCAGCGCCCTGCCCGTGGCCCAGGTTGGCACTGCCCCGTGCAATGGCCACACTCTCAGGCTTCTCACTCTCCCAGGCTGCTGCCCACACCGCTCCTTGGGCTCGCGGAACAGACACTCTTCAAGGTGCTGCCGGGACTGGTGAGTGTGGGGGCCTCGGGCCAGGCGTGCCCCTGTGCCCGGCGGGGCCCCTCCTCCCCTGGCTTTGCGTAAATCTGGGCGCCAGGCAGGATTAGGCTGTTCTTCCCTTCCACGCCCACCAGGTAATCCATCCTGGCTGCCCACACCGCTCAAGTGCCGCCTGGGGGATGTGCCCACATGTACATGCCCTTGACCGGAATCGAACCTGGGACCTTTTAGTCTGCAGGCCAACGCTCTATCCACTGAGCCAAACAGGTCAGGGCCTCATGTCCCTTTCTTATCCCCTGCTCTGTCTTTGCCACCTGTATTATTATTGCCTTTAAACTTTGCTTTAAACTCGCTTTGAATTAAACTTGGGCCGCTCAGTGATTTTTCAACTGAGCCCTGTGCTTGGCATATATGTTCAGAAAATTACAGACATGTATATCAATACTTCATAAGAGAAGCACATTATAACTAAACTGCTCCAGGATGCTTGCCCATGGCCGGCCCCAGCCATCCTGGCTTCTAGGGGACACGAACCACACTTGGGAAAAGGTGGTCTGGCCGAAGGCCCATTTCATTGAGGCCACAGCAGGCAGGGCTTGCTGGGCTCACACAGCCAGCACGGGGCAGTCAGGCCCCCTGAACCCCAGCCCTGGCAGCACCTCTCTTATGAGTCCTTGTGAAGGGCACCTGTGGAGGGAGCCAGGGCATGGGCGCTGAGGTTGGCAAAACTGCCCTGGACTTGAAGGAGCCGATCGGAAAGTAGCTCAGGGGGAGAAGGGAAGCTCCCAGCAGCAAGGCCCCAACCAGGCCCATCTCCGGTGGATTTCCACAAGGGGGGCTGCGCTTAAATCGTGACCCCTCACTAGGGTCTCTGGGACAACTGGCTGCAACACAGGATATGTGTGACTCAGAGAGGCTTTAAAAACAAGAGCTAATTACTGGCATTTAGAGATTGGAGATTTCTCCTAACGATCCGATTTCTGCATCTCTTGTGCAATCAGCCACCCTGGCCGCACGGTACCTCCTTCCCGCAGGTCGCATGGCTGGCTCCACGGGGCGGCTCCCCCACCCATCATAGCCCCTTGGATGTCCTCGCAGTTCTGTGACATGCCTAACTCCAGGGGCCTTGGAGGTTGAGGTCCCAGGGTTTAAATGAAGAGGCAGCCCTTGAGAACAGCTGTGACCTTGGGCAGGCTGCCGTTCTTCTCCGGCCACAGATGTGGATGAAGGGGCTGGGCTGGGTCGCCTGAGGTTCCTGCTCAGGTGGACTCGGATTCTGTGATGCGCAGACTCGGGATTCTGCAAGCCGAACCACCTGCTCCCTGTTCACACAACACAGGGGTTTTCAGAAACACGCTGGCACCATCCACCCCCAGACCTCTGAGTCCTAACTTTATGCAGTGAACGTGGTGTATGTAGAGCCTGGCCCGAGCCTGACTCTCTGGGTGGAGGGGGGTGGAATCCTTCTTGGGGGTCCATGGGCTAGGTCTCCCGGGGTCCAGCTGGAAGACACCAGGGACCTGAGACCTCAGAGGGAACAGCTGCCTTTGCCCCCTCAGGGCAGGGCCTGGTCCACACACCCTAACTGGCCTCTGAAGTATGTCTCCCCTGTTCCCCCAGCATCCTTTGGGGTTTTCTGAGGGGCCCATGTAACTGGCCCTCCACATCACCCACTCCACCCTCCCAACACGTCAAGCTCCAGCCCCTCCCCTGCCTCCGCGTGTCCCCCCACCCTTCTCTACATTCTGCCTTGCCTTGGTCCCTGGGATAGCAGATGTTATGGCAAAACATGCATAGAAAATGCAGCGGTTCCCCTGTGCCAGGCTGGGCCCCACTCTTATTCCCTGTAACACCCGTCTCCTCTGGACACAGCTGTGCCCCGTGGTGGACAGTGTGCTGAGCGTGGTGAATGAGCTCCTCGGGGCTGTGCTGAGTAAGTTGGGGCCCAACCCCCTCCTTGGCCCCTTCTCCTACCCCCTCCCATTACCCCAAAGGGTGGCGGTACCATGGCAAGAGGAAGGGACAGGATTCTGGGACCTTCCACTTCCTCCTCAGGCTGATGAGGCCGCCACTTTGAGGAGCCCTCACGGGTGTGTGGGCTGAGGCTGGTCCAGCAGGATGGGGGACTCGTAGCCCCCCCAGCTCTCCCTCTGCTGGGGGCTTCAGGCACCTGTGGTGTCCAGCATGGTCAGAAACATGAGGCAGATATTATTATTATCTGGACAGACAAGATGACAGGCCAGAGAGCTCAAGTAAGAAACCCAAGGCCACAGCCACAGCGGCCACCTGTCTCCTTGAGCCTATGGAGACACGGACCGATGCCTTTTGTGCACAGATGGGCTTTGACAAGTGTAAACAGGTGTGGCCAGGATAAGGACAGAAAAGCTGGGGCAGATGTGTCTGTACGTGGCTGCATGTGAGAGAGGCAGGGCCGCAGTGTGGCCAGTGACACCAGCTCTGGGGAGCGGGAGTCCTGGCGTGGTTTCTGTGGCCGTGGGCTGGTGACTTCTGTCCAAGCCTCAGATTTTATCTGTATAATGAGGATGACGGTGGTGCCCAGGTGAACACTTAGTAGAGTGTTAGGCGCTCAGTAAATAGAAGTAGGGCCTGTTATTTTGGGGGGCTTGGCTCATGGGGACTTCCTCCCTCCTCCTCTCCCCATGCAGGCCTGGTGCCCTTGAGGCCTCTTGGGTCTGTGGAATTCACTCTGGCCACACTGCCTCTCATCTCCAACCAGTACATAGAGCTGGACATCAACGTGAGTCGGAAGGCCTTGCCCACTGCTGGGGGCTGGGTAGGAGATGCTGGGTCAGAGCCACGTGAGTGAGCAGCCCCGAGACCCTCCCATGCCGCCTCCTCCCCCTGCAGTCCGTTGTGAAGAGCGTAGCTGGTGACGTCATCGACTTCCCCAAGCCCCCCAAGCCCATCAAGGTGCCTCCCAAGGTGGACCACACGTCCCAGCTGACCGTGCCTCTGTACCTCTTCAGCACCATATTTGGGCTCCTGCAGACCAACGGTGCCCTTGACATAGACATCACCCCTGAGCTGGTGAGTGTGGCACCCTCCCCTGCTGTGCCCTGGAAATGCCAATGACCCAGTCACATCATCACTGATCAGCCTGAATGAGCCCCTTCCTGTGTAATTGGACAGTGAGACACATTTATAACACGCACATGTCCGTTCTTGTTGTGGCAAACATTGCTAATTGACAATGGCCCTCTGATTGGCTAAATCTCAATGGGACTTCTGAGTCTTTCCTTCCAGGGAGTTACTTTCAGTTATTCAGAACTGGCATGTGACATCCTGGCATCAGAGGATCCCTTTCAGAGTCAAGAGCCCGATTTTACACTAAAGTGTGACTGACTAACATTGCTAATGCTTTCTCAAGAGCAGATTTGAGTCGAAGAGAGGAAAAGTAGGGTTAGACTACTCCAAGGTCACTCGGACACTTGTTTTGAAGCCTCTGAGACCTCTCTGCTTCCATCTGGCTCCTCGCAGATGTCTGGAAGGCTCACCCCTCAAAGCCACATCCAGAGGCATTTTCTCGGCCTTAGCCCTCTCCAGAGGCAGTGAGCTCTAAGCCACCTGTCCCCATGCCCCCCGCCTCTACCTGCAGCTCAGGCCCTAGGGAGCACTTCCTGCATGTAGGGTCCAGAGAGCACTGGAACAGGCTCCTGAGCTAGGAGGCAGGCGTCTTCTTGCTGGAAGGTGGCAGTCATAGCCAGGCAGACTCTGAGTGTGAAGATGCATGTGTGTGAGTGTGTGTGTGAGTGTGTGTGTGTGTGTGTGTGTGTGTGTGTGTGTGTGAGAGTATTAGGCAAGAGAGAGGGATCTCAGAGGCCAGATGCTATCCTCAACTGCTGTCCACCCCCAGGGGGGTGATGGCCTTGTGTTGGGTGAGAGTCTGGGAATCGTCTGATCAGGGTCAGATCCCTGGGCCTGCAGATTGTGAGCTCTGGCAGAGGGGTTTGAAGGTTCTGGAATTAGCCTGCCCAGGTCAAATCCTGGTGCCACCGCTTACCAGCTTATGAGTCTAGAGAGGAGCCTCAAGTTCCCCACTCATAAAATGAGAGTAATCAGAGCGCCCACCTCTTTGAGCTGTTGCAACTGTGAAATGAGCAAAGGCATGCAAAACCCTTAGCACGTGCTTGGCATGTAGTGAGCACTCAGTGATCATTGGCCACTGGAAGGAGCATGAGTGTTTGTAGAGATGTGTATGTGATTGGTGGGGTGGAGGTGGGGCAGGATGTGGACAGAACTGCCTTGTGTGTGCTGAGGGATCCCTGTCCTGTGTCTGCGTTCACCATGTCCTCTCATTTGGTCTTGGGCCCAGGTTCCCAGCAATGTCCCAATGACAACCACAGACCTGACAGCTTTGGTCCCTGAGGTGAGTGACCCTTCTGATGACCTTGATCACTGTAGCACTTTCCTGATGAGCCTGAACAGACTCCAGAATCTTTCTCAATACATTTCTCCAGAGAGCTGTAATTGAATGTTGAATCTAAATTCACACTAAAGTTGGTCTTGGGCCCAGGTTCCCAGCAATGTCCCAATGACAACCACAGACCTGACAGCTTTGGTCCCCGAGGTGAGTGACCCTTCTGATGACCTTGATCGCTGTAGCACTTTCCTGATGAGCCTGAACGGCAGAGAGCTGTCATTGAATGTTGAATCTAAATTCACACTAAAATGTGAATGGCTAACATTGTATCCTTTCCTGATAGCAGAGTGGAAAGGACCAGGTTTTAATTGCCCCAGAAGTCAAGTAGGCATTTGCCCTATGGCTGTTCCTTTTCTATCAAGGATAAGACAGAAGATTCTTTTCAGGCAACTGAGTCCCCTCCCTCCTGCCACCTTACTTCATCTTAGTCTTGGTCTCCTCTGTCCCATGAGAGAAGATTCAAGGCACTGGCCTTAGGGGTGGGGGGGAGGGAGAAGATTCAGGGAGGACATCAGTACAAGACTGCAGGGCCTGGCCTCAGCTTTCCTGTTCATCCAGCTGGGGCTGGACCAGATACTTTCCAGCTGTGAGAATCTGAATTCATCCTGAAGTTGAAATACTACTACAAGGTCCTTACACAATAGCAGATTCTGACAGAGGTTGGGAAGAGGTCCACAAGACCTGGGTTTCTGCCAGAGAGGGTGGAGAGGGAAGCTGAGTTTGGGGACACAGAAAAACTCTGTGAATCCTTGAAGTGGGTGGTTCAAATCAGCCTTAGTGGGCATGGTTAGAGGCCTTAGCTAACGGGCCTCGGAGTCTCAGGCAAGGGATGAGATTGGGGCCAGACATTCAGAAGCACTTCTTGAGGGCAGGAGTCATAAATGATGGAGAGGAACTTGGGGGAGGTGCAGGTGGCAGAGCAGTGACCCATGGATGCAGCAAGCTGGGCCGTGTCCCTTCAGCCTGGGGAACCTGGAGCCTTTGTTCTCCAGTTGCCAGCCTTGCCGTGTCAGAACCCAGAGCCCCAGCTCCAAGTCTGGGTCCGTGGCTTTAGAATCTGAGGACACATGAGGGTGGAATCGGTAGTTCCCTGTCTGTCTGATCCTACAACTCTGGGAGTTGGGTTTGAGGAATTGGTCCCCAGACTCTGCATTCAAGTGACTCCAAGCTTCTGTGACTCTAGTTACAACACTTCTATAATTCCATGATGTCGTGATGGTGAGACTCAGAATTTCCTGATTGTGTGATTCAGTCAGTCAACCAACATTCACTGAGCACCTACTACGTACCAGGCCTTGTGCCAGGTGCTGGGAATCCAGAAGTGGCAAAGGTGAAAAGTAGACAAAAGTGCCTGTGCTCCAGGAGCTGCCATTCTGATGGGGCTGACAGACCTTGGACAAATGAATGGAGAGAATGGAATGGTCCAAGCAGATGAGGAGTGAGGGATGGTGCTCCTAAACAGGGTGCTCTGCAAGCCTCCCTGAGGGGGTACCGTTGGAGCACGAGGCTGAAGGAGGTGAGGGCGGGGACCGTGCAGGTATCTGGGGAAGACATTTCCAGGCAGAACAAACAGCAAGTGCATAGGCCCTGAGGTGGGTGCGTGCCTGTCAGGTGAGAGGAACAGTTAAGTAGCTGGTGAGTCTGGAGAGGAGAGAATGAGGGGACCGGTGGTGGGGGTGAGATGGATGGAGGGCAGAGGAGGGATCATGCAGGGCCGGTGGGCCTCAGGAGGATTTTGAGTCTGAGTGAGACAAGAGTCTGATTCCCCTGTTCCATGGGTAGGTGGTGTCTCCCCCGCTGACTGTCATTCTCATGGGGGCTGAGACCATGGTTCAGTCCGTAGCCTCAGCACCCAGCATGGTGCCTGGTGCGCGGTAGGTGCTCAGTGGGTGCTTGTAGACTCTGTGGAGTCACTGGCTGACTATCAGTGGGGCATCGAAGCTGCCTCAGGCCCTGCTCCCTGCCTCTCTCAGGTCCTGGGGAAGGTGCCCCCGGGCCAGCAGCTCCTGCTCAGGCTGCAGGTGAAGGAAGCTCCCGCGGTCACACTCCAGAAAAAGAAGGCCGCAGTCTCCATCGCAGCTAACATCCACGTGCTGCACCACCTCCCTGCAGGGACTCCGGCAGCCCTCTTGGAGCTGAATGGGGTGAGTGGCTAAGGGATGGGAGCCCGGCGCTGGCTTCTGAGCGGGCTGACCCGTTCCAGGCCCCTGGGGGGTTGCCTTCCCCCGATTTCAGGGTGGCACAGCCCAGGAAGCCCCTCTCCTTTATTGTCACCATCTGAGCTAAGACCCAAGTATCCACTTAGACTCCCTCATCTCACATCTGACCGGGCCACGGCCTGTCCAGTCTGCTTCCTCGGGATTTCAGGAATGATTCCCCATATCCCCATCCTCTCTGTGCTCAGATATCTCTTGGGTGACTCTCTGACTTCTTCCTGGCCCCCTACCTCCAGTCTGCCCCTCTCCACCCCACCTCTACTAGTTTTCCCGCACACACATCTGGGCAGAGGCAGGTCCCTCCCTTGCTCACTCTCTGCCCTGGCTGCCCATGGCCTAGCACCATTCCATACCCCCCGCCTCATCCTCTGCCTGTTACTCAGGGCTGCCAGTCCCACCTCCCTGCCTTTGTGTGTGCAGGCACCACCACCCGCAGTACCGTCTCTCTCCTTCTCTAGGCTAATGCCTCATCTTTCAACATTCAGCTCCGGTGTCACCTCATTGGACACCCTCCCTTGCCCCCCTGCTGGCTGGGCTGAGGGTCTCCTCAAGCTTCTACAACCCCAAAGCTTCCTCTTGTACAAACGGATCACCGTCAGTTATTGGTTTTTATTCCTTACCTGGGGGGGGCGGGGGCGGAGAGAGAGAGAGAGAGAGAGAGAGAGAGAGGAGAGAGAGAGAAACATTAATGTGAGAGAGAAACATCAATTGGTTGCCTCCTGTATATGCCCCAACTGGGGACCAAACCCACAATTTAGGTATGTGCTCTGACTGGGAATTGAACCCACAACCTTTTGGTGTATGGGGTGATGCTCCAACCACCTGAGCCACCCGGCCAGGATGCCTCTTCAGTGTTTTTGTTGTTGTTGTTGTTGTTGTTGTTTTGCCCCTTCAGTTTTAAAACTCTAGTTCTCGAACACCAGAACCTTCAAGTTACCTCCTCATAGCCCAGCATGGATCCTAACACACAGTAGGGCCTCAGTAAGGGTTAGTGGAAGGAACGGTGGAGATTCACCTGTTGGCTAAGGTAGACCTGTCCTCAAGTTCCTTCTGTCTAATTCAGAGTAACCTCTGCCTGCTTTCCCCCTGCAGGTTATGACTTTAAATGCCCAGCTGGCTCCTTCGGCTACCAAGCTGCACCTCTCCCTGTCCCTGGAACGGTAACATGGGATCCTGTGCCTTGTCCTTAGGACCAAGAATTAGGGACCTACAGGAACCTCCTTCCATTTATCAGGCACCAGCTAAGTTGCAGGAGTTTTATCAGCATCTTGGTTGCCTCCAGGACCTGCTGGGGCAGGGACGGTGTTAGCCCATTTTACAGATGGCACCTGGGGCTCAGAGAAGCAGGATCCAGAGCAGGCTTCTTCCACAGCCCCGCCCAGAACCTGGCCCTGGAGATACACCTACTGCCAGGATATGGAGTCCAAACTCCTGAGTTATCAGCCTCAGAGGCTGGCCACAGAGATAGCTGTGCTGGAATATTATAAAATGCTTCGTTATTCAGGTGGACTCGTTATTTCTCTAATCTCTCCACCCCTGTGGGAACTAGGCCTCATGGTGATGGTGATGATGGCAATCCTTCCTCATGGGAATGGCCCTTTACCATTTGCAAAGCCCAGGCTGGCACAGTGGGCTGTCCCTGGAAGCAGGTCTGCAATCGGGGCCTCCGTTCTCCAGGCTCAGTGCTCTCACTGTGGCCTGTGGCCGGGTGCCTCTCTGTCCCTCCCCTGGATCTGGGGCTTTCCCAGGGTCTCTGAGATCTGCCCATCCTGGCCCATAGGCACCCAGTGCTTACTTGACCCCATTTGAGTGTCCCTTGCAGGCCCCTGAGGCTGCATACAGATGCCCCTTGCAAGGCTCCACTGCTGCCCCATTTCTAACCTCGCCTGCTGCCTGAGTTCGTCTGCCCTTCCTGGTGGCAGTTCACGTCTCAGCCCATCAGGAGATAGAGCACTGTGGCCAGGCTCTGGCTGTGGACCTGCGTTTGGCCAGCTGCGATCCACTAGTGGCTTGTGGCCTTTAGTGTGCCTGCTGGATACAAGCACCCTATGTCCAGTGCTCAGTCTATGGAGAGCCACTCTTTAGAGAGGTCCACCCACTCGCCCAGAGTCAAACAACTGGGAGTCAGACTGAGGCTCCAAGACCACGGAGTCGGAGGTGGTGGTCATGATATCTCAGAAGGAGGTTAGATCCCTTCAGGTCCATTTTACAGATGGGAAAACTGAGTCTCTGAGTTAAGGCTGGATAGAGACAGAGTTGGGCCTTAACCCTGTTTTCTGATGCTGGAGAGCTAGGGGTGGGGCAGGCGGTGGTGTGGGGTGGGGCAGAGCACTGTTAGCGGGTGTTGGGGTGGAGGCTGGGGCCCCCAATATCTCTCTTCTCTCCAACAGGCTCAGTGTCAAGCTGGCCTCTTCCTTTGTCCACCCCTTTGATGTAAGTTCCTGGGAGGGTGAGCAGCTTGGCAGTGGTGAGCGTCTTCTAGTGGGGCTGGACAGGAGGTGGGATGAGTCATGGGCCAGGTGACTGATCTGGCCTCAGTCTGAGCTCTGGAACAAACATCAGGGTGTGTGTGTGTGTGTGTGTGTGATCACCTTAGGACAGTGAATCTGAATCTCATGACCGATCAATGTCTTGGAACCTTACAAAGTCATAAATTTCCAGAATCCCACAAAGGTTCAAAATTCTGGAACTTCACACAAGTAATAAGGCTCCTGAACTCAGAAAGTTCTAATATTGCAGAGCCCCACAGAGCCCTTAGTTTTCTGCTTCTCACAGAGTTCTGTGGTTCTGGAATCTCATGATCGTCTCAGGTTCTAGAACATTCTAAGGGTTCTTAAGTTCGTAGGAGCCTAAGATCAGACCACACAGAGTCTACTGGAGCTGGGTACCTTCTCCTCTTTCTTTCTCAGGCACAGGCCCTGCTCCAGGCTCCACAGAGCCCTCCTCCAGGAAGGCAGCTCTTCGAAGCTCATGGGGCCCAGGGTGAAGCTGTCCTAACTCAGTCCCCTGTGGGGTCACTGGTAGACATTCCACCCCAGCGGGTCTGTGCCCACTAGGAGCTGTGTCCCCAGGCGTGGGGGAGGCTGAGGCAGCTGGACCTTGGACTTCCCTCCCTGGGAAGGAGTGCGCTGCTCCCTGTAAAGCCACCTCCCGCCCTCCCTATGCTCTGTTGCAGGTGGCCCATTTAGAAGAGTGGCTCAGTGATGTGGTCCGGGTGGCGTATGTGCCGAAGCTCAACGGTATGGGTGGCCTTCGCTGTTGGTTTGGACACGTGGGGTGTCTGGACTTGGGACCGCCAAATCTATTGCCTCTTTCCTTGTTCTGAGAGACACGGAGGTTGGAGAGGGGTTGATGCCCATTTCTAAGATGCAGAAATGGAGGCACCAATATTTCCATTTACACAACACTGACCAGCATCTACATCCCTCCAGACTCTGGGCCCCAACAGCTATCTGACCTGGGTCCTCTCCGCAAGCTCACAATCCAGAGCGAAGTGTTCATATAAGCAGGTGCTTAGAATATATGGCCCCGAATGTGCAAGGGGCTGACAGAACCTCAAGGAGGCTCTGCTGAGGGGCCACTGATGACAGTACAGCAAAGGGGCATTTTCATTTGAGTTTAGTAGGACAAGTAGGAGTCTGCCAATAAGAAAAACGGAGTCCCTAGGAAGAGAAATGGCTGGCTCAAGGGAAGTGGTGGGATAAGGTCAGCAGGTCCAGCCCTGCCCCCCCCCCACACATAGCTTTGCTTTCAACCCTTTCCTCTTCACAGGGGACCTGGATGTTGGTATCCCCCTGCCCAAGGTTCTCAATGTCGATTTTGCCCACGCGGTCCTGGAGGTCATCGAGGTGAGTCTCCCGTGCAGGTGTGGTCTAGATGGGCCTTACGTGAGTTTGTGCAGAGCCTTGCTTGGAACTCATTAGGGGATGCTCTGCTCATCACCTGGTCTGCCCATGCACCGTTTTCCCAATTGCTCAGGGAATTACAAACGACTGAGCTTGGGAATGGCAAACAGATGACACAGGGATGCTCTGCTCATCACCTGGTCTGCCCATGCACCGTGTTCCTAATGCTTGGGAATGGCAAACAGATGACACAAGTGCTGCCACTCCTTCCTTCCTAGCCCATGGCAGGCATTGTCAGTCAATCACAGAGTTCTTTCCTGGTCAATTAGACCCATGTGTGGCCTCTAGGGTGGGATCTCAGATTCACTCACAGGATGGCAGTTCCCTTGGTCCAGGGGTGGCAAATACGAGTGCCGTCCCTCCTTGTCCTGTGCCTGTGGCAGGCGTGACTAATAGATCATGACACTTTTCTTGTTGACTATAGACATAGCCTCACAATCCTTTTTCAACCCAGCACAACTTTGAGTTTTGGAGCAGTTCTGGGAGGTAGACAGAGCAGAGATTTTTGGACCCATTCCTCAGATGAGAACCAAGGCTGAGGGAGGTCAAATTTCTGGTCCAAGTTCAACACAGTAAATTAATGGATAAATGGCACTTGAACTTGGGTCTCTTAAGTCATAAAGTCAGTGAATCAGTGACCTCTCTCATGCTTCATGTCATTTATTAATCATTCATTTATTTGTTTATTCATTCACTTAATGAGTGCCTGCTGTGTGCCAGGTACAGCGCTAACCTCAGGCCATGGGCGGGCACAGACGTGGATGCAGAGACCGGGGTGGAGGTGGGAGGGCAGGGCAGGTGTGTTGGGCACAGGGACTCAGAGAGCCTAACCAAGAACCGTTGCTCCTTGCAGAATGCTGTTGTGCTGACTGTGGCATCCTGAGCTGAGAGATGGCCACTACCCCTCCCTGTTGACTGCCAAAGTCCTGCCGACCTGCGTACTCTGCCTCAGTTTCCCTCCGAGTCCCTAGCCTGTGTCAGTGACTGTATAAATGTCCCTTATCTGCCCAGGCCCACCCAGGCGCTCTGGCCCTGCAGCTGTGCCCGGCCTGGGTGGGGACTGCAGGGCTAGCCACAGGACTCTGCTTCAGAGAGTGCTCTGGGGCCACCGTGGCCAGTCCCTGGCTTTCAATAAACCGTCTGTGTCAGCATCTCCTGGCTAGTCTGTTCCCAGGCCACAAAGGCCACCTTGGCCTCTGCCTCTGGTGCCCTCCTGCACTCCAGGCAGGGGCTCCTGGGAGGTGAGGGGACTTGGGGCCTAGTCATTGTAGCTTTGTGTCGCAAGCTTACCTGGCTGGCCTGTGTCTTGTACCACCTCTCTCCACCTCTGCCCCGAGCTCCCTGTGTCCCCCTCCTTACTCCCTTCCGCCCTCCTCCCTCCATTTTTCTAAATACCTCTTCCTTCAGTCTGTCTGAGTCTCTGTCTGTCTCTGTCTCTCTGACTTTGGGACATACTCAGTAGTACATCTGAGCTGAGTTTTGAAAGATGAATAGGAGTTTTCCAGGGAGAAAAGGAGCCAGCATTCCAGGAGGCAGGGAGACCTGGTCCTGGAGGATCCCTACGAGCTGCACTTCACCCCCCTCAGAGCACAGTTATGCCCAAAGCTCGTGGTGCGGATGGGAAACAGGTGCCAGGCAGGGGCCTGGCCGGTCCAGTGCCACATGGTGGCAGAGTTGGGATGGGAAACCTGCCTCCTGGTTCTGGGCTCTTCCCCGCTTTCAGGATGGACATCCTCATTTCTGGGAAATGGCCTCAAGATGGCACTTATAAGAGGTGCCAACAACGTTTTTGGAACTGGCTCTGAGGATTTGGGGGGACACAGGAGAGTTGGAGCCCATCTTAAGGTTTACCCACTAGTAATGACCCTGTGACCATCCTTCCATCCACCCATCCATCCTCCCATCTATTCATTCATCCTTCCTACCTCCCTTCCTCTCATCCTTCCATCCACCCACTCTGCAAATACTGGCACCTTCTACTGCCAGGCCAGGCACTAAGTGACATGTTAGGCTTTATCTCTGACTCCTTTCTCACGGCCATTGTCTCCTGACTGCATCCAGGGCAGAGCTGAGGTTGAATGAGCGGCCTGAGGTAGCTGTCTGTGTTCAGATCCCATCCCAGCACTGGCCATGTGGCCTCAGGCAAGTCATGTAATCTCCCTGACTCTCTTTGTCAGTGACTTGGGGGTGAGAATAATAAGGTTTGAGAGTTAACCAGCACTCAGGATGGTGACTGGCCCTAAAGAAGCTCTCGGTGCCTGTTAGCTCGTGTTACTGCTGCATTAGTCCACGATCTTCATCTGTTTTCTCCTCTCCACCCACACCCCAGCACACCCTCCTCATTTCTCATGAGGACCGCACCTGCCCCTTCCTGACCTCCCTCCCTCCTCTCCTCCATCCCATCCTCTCCAGCCCATCATCCTTGATCTCATCAGACCATGTCTCACTGCTGACAACCCTTCGATGGTGCACACTCACTGCCAGAAGGAAATCATCCCAACTCCCAGGTTGGCATTCAAGGCTGCTGTGACCTGGCCTCAGCCAATCCCCCCTGGAGCATGGAGAGAGAGCAGAGTTGTCTCTGAGCCTCAGGCTCCTCATCGTAAAATGGGGAACGCTATAGGACTCACTCATAGGTCGTTTGAGGATTAAATGAGACAAAGTACTAAGAAGAGTGCCTGGCACGTGGTGAATGTGCATGATGGGTAGTCAGGCCTTTGAACAGCCCTTCCCTCTTCCTGGGGCATCCCTGTCCCCAGTGTGCCTGGCAAACTCCTATCATCCCTCAATGCACGGGCACACGCAGCTGCCAGCCTCGCCGTGCCCCAGGCAGGGCCTGTTATTGTATTTGCCACACGGGATTGTCACTGCCCCGGTCCCATTTTCCCACCTGACCAAGACCTCCTCAAGGTCAGGGATGGTGTCTGCCTCATCCTGGCGAGTCTTGTGGCTGCACAGAGTGGCGATGAGAGCAGCTCACCTCCTTTCAGTGCTTATTGTATACTGGACACTGTGTTAGATGCTGAGCAGCCCCTTTGGACAGCTCCTAAGTGGAAGGGCCAAGATTCGAACCAGATCCTCCTGACCCTAATTCCAAAGCCTGGGTTTTGCGATGCTACCAAAGTAGTACTTGCTGCATTTATTGTATGCTTACTAAGTGCCAGACACAGTTCTAAGTGCTTTACTGGTAGATACAACATGTCATCGACTCCGTGAATCAACCCTCCTTTCTAGGAACTATTTTTACCTTCATTCTATAGTTGAGGAAACTGGGGCACAGAGAGGTTAGGTGATTTGCCCAACAATACACAGTTAGGAATGATGAGGTTAGAATTTGGATCCAGGCCTCTGAGTTCAAAGCCCAGGCTCGGAACCCACACTTAGGGTGGGGTGAGGGGGGATGACACAAGATGTGCAGGGAGCCCCTGTGCTGAGCCTGCAGCCCTGGGGCTGACAGCTCATGAGGGAGACAAGAGCTGCTGGACTGATTCTGTTTCCTGGTCCCTGCAGTCCCTGCATGAGCCCCCACATGGCCCCCTGCATGGCTGAGTCACCTTTGGGTGAGTCACCTCCCAGGGCCTGGTCCCTCCAGCTGCAGACAAAGGTGCCTTTGGACGCTAAGCCCAGGTGACCTCCCTGAGGCGCCAGTTACACTAATCCTCCTGGAGCCCAGGGGGTAGGCCTGCCTCTGGCTCAGGGCTGAGGCCTCATGTGACTGACAGTAACCACCTTTGTGTGTGCACTGCCCCCTGCAGTTTACAATGCGCATTGGTCCTTGCGGAAGGGGGTGGAGGAGCCACATGGCCCTCTTTGTATTATATTTCAGTTTAAAAAGGTAATATATCTGTTGAACGAGCACTTATATCACACTAAGTGGGAGGCAATGGGGAGATGAAAGGGGCTGCTGTCTACTGAGCCTCCATGAGGCTCCGGGCACATTCTGGAAGGTTCCTATGTAATCCTCCAAACCCTACTGCAAAAGTGCAAGGAAGTCCACTTCTCAGATGGCCAGACTGAGGTCCTGGAGGAGAAGTGACCATCAGGTCACATAGGAGGG